TATATATATATTTATGTAAATCCTTTTTCTAGTACAGTACATTTTATTTACAGTAAACTTAAACTTCTATAACTTTTTTACACTTGCATTAAAAAATAAAATACTTTACAGAATAATCTGCGTTAAAAAGAGACCAACCTTAGGTCTCTATTTCAAAGCATTCATGAATTACAACCTATTTGTATTTGGTACAAGTACTTGGTTGAGTATTTGGCTAGTGCATTTTCACGTCTATGTTTAAAAAAAGGGGGTAACAGTTAAGAGGTTATGGTTTTTGCTTCTTTATTGGTAACACTTTAGAATAGGGAACACTTATTCACTATTAACTACGACGTTTCCCTCAATAAATTAATAATTTGCTGCTTATTAATAGTTAGTAAGGTAGTTGTTAAGTTTAGGTATTGGGTAGGATTAGGGATGTAGAATAAGGTCATGTAGAATAAGGCATTAATATGTGCTTAATTACTACTAATAAATGGCTAATATTCTAGTAATATGCATGCTAATAAGCAACTAGTTAAGAGACCCTAAAATAAAGTTTTACCTCTATTTTGAGTGTAATGCTGCTTAGTGTAAAAACTTGTATTTGCCGTTTCATTCTCCTATCCACAGAGAGTATTAAACCTTTTCTTTATAAATACTAAACTTAAAAGTTTACACAATAGACACATTTCTATAAATAAGCTTAAAAAAAGTTGGTCTGTTAATGGCACTGACATTATACAAAAAAAGGTTACTTACATCATGTGAGAAAAAGCTTATCGTACCTATATTTTCTTTTGCTGTGGCTCACTGTGTTGTTGTTGTTTTGGAAGTGAATAGTGTTCATGACAAGGGAGGTGTGAGAAATTGTAAATAGATGTCATGAAAATGTATCAGGGTTGATGGAAATGGATTTCATCGTGTCTGTTTTCTAAAACATTCTGCAAATTGTTCTGCTGTTTGTTGCGGTTTTCGTTCCTGGAGTCTCATGTCTTAATAATATCGCAATTATGGACAAAATAATGGTGATGACAAGCCTGGTTCCTAAAACATGTCACGAGACCGTGGTGTTCTGCTCTGTTCCATTGCACGCCGTCTAGCTGCTTAGCAGAAACACATCTTGTGTGTACCTTCCCCAAGGCAGAAAATTATACACAAGGATGATCCAATACAAAACACAAACAAGCACTACAATATATGGGTGAACCTCATGAAAACATGTCCCAGTCATATTAAAAAAAATGAATCATATTTTGCACTACAACAATTAAGCAAATTTCTGACCCATTTCTTTTTTTTTTTTACTGTATTGCATCCAGACGTGTTGCTTTTAAAAATTATTGATGATAATTCTGATCATCACAAAATCAAAAGCAGTAAAATAAAAGAAATCATTGCTATATATAATAAATAGAGGTGTAATGGTACACAAACGCTTCGCAGTTTGAACTGAGGCATTTATACAGGGATCTGTCGCGCCACATCAAAGAGCGTCAAATTGTTCGAGTTTCCTGAAAAAAAAAATAATTGACGTAATTTGAAAGATGAGATTTTGTTTCTTTTCAAAAGTAACGACACAATGAAGTTCCACTCGTGCAGTGACTAAAACAATGCTATATTTGTTCGGTACACATGCATACCGAACCGAAAGTCCGGTACCGAAAATTTTTGGTACAAATATGTGTACCGTTAAAACCCCTAATAATAAAGGAATAAGTTATGGGGGCAAACATGCTTAATTGTCAAGAAAATGCAAAAAAATAAAATACTTTTTTTTCTTCTTTCGAAATTGTGAAATATAACCTGGACACGTTCTTAACGAGATTTACACACATGGAAATAAAAAACATTTGCTTTATACATGAAAGTCCTTGCAGAAGGGTCAGCACTCTCCCTCTGGACCGCCTGCATTTAAAAGATAAGCCCGGCTCATTTGAGGACAGTAAAATCTCGAGTCTGGGCAGAGTGGACAGATGGGTCGAGAGAGGCGTAAATGAGGAACGCTAGAGAACTCACACTTTATGCTCTGCTACGTTTCTTCTGAGAGAAATGTCAAGCCGCACATAATCAAAGCCACCAGTCTGCTCAGGAACGGGCCTCATGAATCACATTTTGGTGCGTATTATGTTCTGAAAAGTAGCGACTCGAAAAGTTGCTAATGCTGCAACCACCTGCGTGTGACTCCGACCGAGCTGAATGTTTCATAATCGCTCACACATCAGCGCATACACAGAGATAAAGACAGACACAGGAGAAATCCTCCTGGATGACTCTGTCTCAGTCAGTGTTAATTTCGTTGACGAATAATTTATCATAATTTTCGTCAACGACATTTTTTTCACAGACGACGACGAGACGATAACGAACTAAAACTCTTTTTGAATGACAAAAACTATGACGTAAATCTATTGACATTTTCGCCAACGAATAAAAACGAGACGAAAATGTTGGACGATTTGGGAAGAGATTCATTCAGAACGAATCTGCTACGTGGTTCGGAGATCAGATGCGTACATATGAACCGGCGGGACATAAGCTAACATACACCTGCTGCACGTCGCATAAAACGTTCAAAAATGTCAATATGTGGGAGTAAGAGAAGAGCAGACATATGGATAAATCTGACGACGCAAGAAAGCACTCATTTCGGTCCGGTTTTCTGAGCGCACACACTGAAAGATACACACACAGAAAGCGCCTCTCACAGCGTGTGAGTACTCTTTTGCGTCACATGAACGGAGAATTACACACAAAATTATGTCAAATTGTCCGTTTTGACGAGTATTCACGAAAACACAGTTAATTACGTCTTAAGTGAACGTAAACAGTAGGGAGAATTCATTAAAAAGAAGACCATGTTCTTGTTCTTTAAGAGAAGTGGTTTTATTTAATTTTAGCATAAAGGCATGTTGCGTCACTGCAGTTAAATCATGATAAAACCTTAATATCAAACCTATATAATGAGTTTGGAAATTTTAGAGAAATGCTTAATAAATGCACTGTAACTAAACCCATTAGATTTTAGCCGACTAAATTTACTGTAGATTTAGTCGGCTAAAATCCTATGATATTTAGTCGACTAAAACTACACTAAAACTATGAAAAATTCAGATGACTAAAATATGACTAAAACTAAATGTAATTTTAGTCAAAAGACTATGACTAAAACTAAATCAAAATTTGCTGTCAACATTAACACTGGTCTCCGTGTGAGTTGTGGGAAGTTTGTACGGATTTGTGCTGATGTTTAGCATTGATTTGAGCGTAGTGAATGCAGTTGCCATGGCGACGATGACTCACCCCTCCCCGCCGACTTTGGTGATCTTGAGTCTGAAATCGACCGAGTTGTGGCTGGGCGGCTTCCACTTCAGAATGTCATCACATCTGCCCGGCTTATATTTCTACAGGGATGCCAAAAACACAGAGACAAATCCCTTTATGACACAATGCAGGAGAAAAATAATATACTCCTTTATTAGCTATAAAGAAAAAATGAATGCTACATATTATCAACAGTAACGCATCACCAATTTGTAGGGCGCCCTAAAAAACAATGAGACCCAAAAGAGTGACTTCATGCATCAGCATTTATACCGTATCTTGGCGAAATTGTCTCTATTCCCAAACCTACTGAGTTGCCTATGTACTGTCTTAACCCTATAAACCCACTGGATCATCCTTAACCTGATCAAAACTGATGAAAATCCTGTTGCACACAATATACTACATGCCTTCTGTTATCCGATTGATAGTTTTACTTTAAAGATCTTAATGAAGCATCTTGTGTTTACTTGATAATCCATGCATCATTTTTAGAAACATGATTTTATTTGTTCATCATCTCAATCATCTCAGTGCCATTGTTTTGCATTGCATTATACGTTTTTCCTCTTCATAAAACTGAGGTTTTTCTTCTGAGTATGAGCTCCATATTCTCACTAAATCACACTATATAAGCCATGAAAGCCTGATGTATCAAATATGATACTTAACAATAAAGAAAAGAAAAAAAAACAACTTTTGAAAAAATCTTTTGTCTAAAGGTTGTTCCATTAAAATATACTGTATATATATATATATATATATATATGTACATTTCGTATGACAGGCATCAGAGGAGTGTTCACCTACGAGTGTTCACTTACGAATTCTACTGTAGGAAGTGGTAAAATGAAGATATTTTTACAGAAACCTGAGAGATTTCTGTCCCTCTACGCCTCGAGTCCATTTGAAACAACATGAGGGTTGGTAAATGATGACAGAATTTAAATTTTTGGCTGAACTATCCCTTTAAGATGCAGTCTATGTAGGCAGCTCTCTAGGTTTTGGAACAGAGCCATAGAATTGCTGATGGAAATAGTTACGTTATGGTGAGCAATGTAGTCCTGTCTTCAATATTTGTCCTTTTCACTGTTCCACTACAATATTTTCCGTTCATTTTTCTAGATTTTAGTCATTTGGTGTAAACCTGGTGAGCTACCACAAGTGAACAGTGGTTTCGCACATCTAGACCAATCAGCAAACATTTGTCTGTGATGTAAATGAGATCTAAAGCAGTTAAAGTATGGAGCTCTGATCACAGTAAAGCAGCAGTTCTGTCATGAGCACGTACTCAACAAATTAACAGTGCCAACAGCGTAGTTTGACTCTTACTCTTATGAGCCACTACTTTCAATGAACTGCTCAAAATGACTCTATAGTTGTACGTTTGAATCAGTCGACTGTTTAGCAGAGCCCTGCAACGAAAACTGAATTCTGCCTAGTTATTAGCTACATACTATACATTTAAAGCACTATATATTTAATTGTCTTACTCTACAAGCTGTTTTGTGAAATAACTGTCCTTCAACTACTCAATAATCCCTTACATTCTGTCATTATAATCCTCTTTGAGAATATAATTGTAACAGTTGTTATTAAACTTAGATAAATAGCTCTTCCATACACAAAGACCGGTCATCAGGATGTGTTGGCTTTAATACAACTTCCAGCACTCATTCGCATTAACGACTACATTTACATTTAAATTACAGTCATTCATTTATAGCAGACGCTTCTATCCAAAGATACTTACAAGTGAGGGAGGCTGCAACAAGATTTTTATTTATTTTTTTAATCCAGGTGTTTGTTCAACTCATCTAAGAATACTTAAAATAATAACAACAATAATACATTTTGTGTGACCTAAATGAGTTTAGTTTGGCTGATGTGAAAATTCAGAAAATGAGGGAATACAGTACATTCTGGAATCTGGACTTAGTAAACTTATTATAACGTAAGCTTATTATAAGAACTGTAAAAGAAAAGAAAAGAAAAAGAAAAACATGTTCAATAAAAAGAGATCAAACAAAACAATGTCCTTCACAACACTAATATGTGGCATGTGACTATGAGCACATTCATTACACATTCATGTCAACATTCTGTATGCGATGAATCAAATCTGGAGAAACTAAAGCGTGGGAAGACAAAAATGAGGCAAAGTAACGGATGCATTGCCAGGAAACAGGATTTAAGCCAGCAGGACCGTTACATGGTGGGAGGTTGTACCTCTAAAAGGCTCAGTGTAAGATTGGGGATGAAAGTACTGTTGTTATGGGTCAGAGTATCCAAACAACCCTCTCACTTTCCACCGTATTGGTCTCTGCAATAATCAAAGCTGTTTACCAGCGGCAACACTAATGATGAGGAGAGGATACAAACACTAGTGCCTAGTAACTGTAAGAGCATCATCTCAGGAGAACCAGCAACTTCTCACAATAACAGCAACTTGCGGATATTACATTTCTAAATGGCCTGAAAAATACTTAATTCTGATACTGAAAGCTGAATTGTTGATACAAAATTCAAGACATTATAATATATATAATATATAGTCTGTCCAGCAAATTTTCATTTGAAATTAAGGCTACGTCCACACGAAGCCAGAGCTTTCCCTATCCGATCTTTTTTATTCCCCTCGTCTCAAGAAATATCTGCGTCCACACGAAACCATGAAACCGACACAAAACGATGTAGTATACAGGTGCATCTCAATAAATTAGAATGTCGTGGACAAGTTAATTTATTTCAGTAATTCAACTCAAATTGTGAAACTCGTGTATTAAATAAATTCAATGCACACAGACTGAAGTAGTTTAAGTCTTTGGTTCTTTTAATTGTGATGATTTTGGCTCACATTTAACAAAAACCCACCAATTCACTATCTCAACAAATTAGAATACTTCATAAGACCAATAAAAAAAACATTTTTAGTGAATTGCTGGCCTTCTGGAAAGTAGACTCTAGGACCTTGGTTTCCAAATGAAATACAAAACTATTAGAGCTTATATACTCTGTATGCACATCATGATTTCTTCCGAAGTCTTTTCATCGACCATTAGTTCTGAAGTCTCCAGTTTATACAATTATATAAATTTATATAATTTTTGGAGCATTTAAAAGCAGAAATGTGAAGCGTAATAGATATATTGTCATTTTATAAAGGCCCTTACATTAATTCTTTTGTTAAAAGTTAAGTTTTGAGCTACTAAGCCGTTCATATAATTTTTACAGATATTTTAAGTTTATTGTTTTGTGTTGTATACTGACTTTGGAATACTCTTTTAACCAGCATTCTATTTCTTTGGCTCCAAACCACCAGAAGGCACTACTGACTACATTATACCCTTGATATTGTTTAATTGCTGTAAATTACAGCCAATCAATGGCTGCATCCGAAAACCTAGGCAGCTGACTTGTTGCCTCACTGCCTTATCCAGCAATGACTTCGCAGGCAGCGTTTGCGCATGAAGGCACCTCACAAAATTGATTTCGGACATGCTTCTGAGGCAGCATAACGGTTTAATGCTCCACAACAAAACAGAAAGAGCTAATTCAAGAGCTAATTCAAGTTTCAAATGCTGATTCAAGATTCAAATGTTGACAAAACAGTTGGCCCGTTTACAATATTGCCTCAACAAGATTGTCAGTAAAGCAGCAGGATGCAGTCGCATGCACTTGCAGGTTCCCTGGAACCCACTACAGGCAGTATGCATTTCACCAACACATATTGCAATTTTATTGGCAATGGCCAATACAAAAAGAAAATAATAAAAAAGAAAGTAATTTACTCTCCCCCTCAGTCAATGGCTCAAATGGAGAAACCAAGTTTTAAAGACCAGGTGAAGCTGTATTATGCAAACGGGGTTTAATCAACATAGACTTCCAACCCGTCACTCTTACTAATGGCCTCTGTGTCTTGATTGACAGGCCTCTACCAGTCAGGCAGAACTGCAAGGGGTGTAGATGTAACATGCCCAGTCTGACCACAGGTGGTGCTGTGGCTAAAATGCCTCCAGGACTTAACAGTGTGATATATTGGACAAGTTTAACTGGCAGCACTTGAGCTATTGTGCATCAAATACATTGTGCTGTGACAGTGGTGGGAGAAGCTGACATGCTGTTAGTCTAACTGAAAGAGATATACTGGATAGTCTGCAAAAGAATGGCACTTGTCATGATTGAGCATAAAACCCTGCTTTGTGACATGAGTTACGGAGGCGTCACACATTGTCTGTCAACAGCTGGGAACGGAAGCATGGGATTCGCCTTGATGCTGCAGGGAAGCGAGAGCTGACAGCATGCACCTTGTAAACAGCCCTGAAGCCAAAGGAAATCCAAAAGGGAGACTGTTTAAAATGAGAGTAAAGGGAAACTGGTAATGAAGCTGGATGGGGAGATGTAAATAGGGATCTTTAACTGAGAGATTGTGGATTATGCCATGGTAGACCAGAGTTTCAGTTAGAGGTGCACAATTAATCGAAATCAAAATGAAATTGCGATTTAATCAGTCTGTTTAGTGCGATTATGAAATCGCGAAAGCTGTTATTTGCAGCTTGTCAGTGAGGTACGGCTCTGTGATCAGTAGTAAATGCTTGAGTAGTAAATGATCAACACGCGTCAAACATCTTTCCAAACATGAGAAGCATTTATGAACCTCTTGTCCAAAAGACAACATTTAATAACATGTTTTTACTCCAAACTCCCTTCATAACGTCAGTCGAGTGTTTGAAATAAAATCCTTCTGTGAGACGGCTTCTTACACAAAATGAGGAACGTAACATATTATTTCATGGTATTCTACGCAGTGATAAAGGCTATGTCGATTAGCACTGCATTATAATTGTACTTTATTATAAAGAAAATACATGAGAAGGCTTGAAGAACTCCGATATTGATATTGTTTTTTATTGCCATGTCAGCTTCCGTGGCTATTTTCATGCATTGAATGAAGTTCAATCTTCTGTTTATTCAGATACCGCTATATGGGATTTCCTGGAACGACGTGCATTACCTTATAATGCATATTTGAAGTTTCAACGCAAGAGCGCCCTCTGGCCTTCGGGTGGAGATTTACTAC